GGGCTGGTTTGGCCGTTACTGTGGTCTCCAACAGTTCGGTGGCTTTTGCGTTGCAGGTTTTTTGTGGGAACGTGGAACGTGAACGGGCAGTCTCCAGACAGCAGCTTGGAGCCCTGGCTGGTGTGCGACCCCGAGCCTCCGGACGTGTATTGCATCGGGTGAGTAGCGGTGGCCTCGTCTTCACTTGCTGCTCTCGCGTGCGTGCTGCTGGGCCGTGTTTGGGTTTAGTTCCTGTCATGCTCTCGGAGGTTCCACAAAGCTGAGCTGCCTCTCAGAAGAGCTGTCTGAGGGGAAGGAGCCGTTTGGATGAGGCAGAGTGCGGGGCTGAACGAGGCTGGCGTGACCTAACAAAATAGATTTCCCCTGGGGCATCCACAGAGCTCTCTGCTTGTCCTCCCCCTGCAGTAACGCTTCTCAGAGAGATGGTTGCTGGCACGTACTGCAGTAGGGTCTCAGAGGCCCTGTGGTGAAATTCTGCTGCTTTATTTAGCAAGTGGGGATAAGGAGCTTCTCTTCCCAGAAGAGCTGTGGCTGGAGGTTTCCCATGGGGCCTCCTGTAGCAAGAGGGGGTCTGTAGGAGAGGCGGGCTGTGCTAAGCTGGCTGGGTTTTTAGGTTCCAGGAGCTGGACCTCAGCACGGAGGCTTTTTTCTACTTTGATTCTGCAAAGGAGCAAGAATGGCTGGCTGCTGTGGAGAAGTCCCTGCACCCTCAGGCGAAGTATAAGAAAGTGAGTTCTGCTCCGTGTGGTGGGATCTTGTAGAGTTGGCATGACTGGAAGGAGGAGGGAAATGGGCTTCCCCTTTGCTCACCCGACCCGAGGAGCGGTGACTGGAGGAACCACGGGTGTGTACGTGGCATGGGGGTACCTGTGCACATGTCAAGGGCGCCAGATTAAATCTGGAGAGTGTTTCTGCCCCACAGCTGTAGGGGGATATTGTAGTTTGAAGTAGAAATTTATAAAGATGGGGATCAAAACAACTCTGTGAAGTACGAGGTAGGTCTCAGGGAAGTGCTCAACAGAATCACAGCAGCAGGTTCAAGTTCTTTATCTGCCTTACCATCTACCCCTGTGATATAGAAACAAGGCGTGTCACGAGCTGGTAAAATGAATAGCTTTTCCGTGAAGGAATGGGATCATTTAGGAGGCAAAATCTTCCGGAGGCGGCTGCCTTGGGACAGAATCACTTCGGTTGTGGCAGCAGGACTTTATTCCGGCTGGTTTAGAGCAAGCCGTTGGTTTTTGTCTCTGCTATAGCAAACCTTCCTGCTGTAGGTACCAGCCCAAAATACATTCACCCGCTTCCCCTCCTCCTCAGCCCGTGGGCTCGCTGTCACGCCCCCGTCCTGCTTGCTTTGAGTCGAGCTCGGCACAGCAGGGAAGGGGAGCACCTTGCGGAACGAGAGGGAGCCAGGGGTCACAGCCTGGCTGCGGAGGGGCTCGCGGCCCGTCCCTTTGCTTTACTTGAGTTTTAGGCAAATTTCTGCCACCCTGGTGAGAGGGAGGGCAGAGGATATGGCTGCAGGCAGGGGAAGTGGCTGCAGCCCTAGATAAGACTTGAGGTCGCATGCGAATTCCCCTCCTGCCGAGTCCGAGGGCTCTTCCAGCTCAATTCTCTGATTTCAGCGTCTTCCCTCCCTACGTAGACTTAACCCCAACCCACCTTAGTGCTTTTCTGCCTCTAAAGGGGGCGTGTTGACGGCGCTCGAGCAGGTCAGGCCTTGTCACTGGCCTTCCCAGTTGTGACCCCGCTGTTCTGGAGGCGCAGGAGGTCACGGGCTGGGAAGCGCGTGGGCTTAGTCCACGGGAGAACGGCAGCAGCCCCGAGATCCCCGCTGGGGCGGTGCGCGGGCGCGCCGTGTGAACACCTCTGGGTTGAGCTTTGCAGCAGAGGAGAGCCTCTTGGCTCCAGAAGGAGCCTCCCTGCGTCAGGGAGCAAGCGTTTTCTGCGAAGCTGGGAGGGGGCTGCCTTTGCTACCCCGGGGGTCGGGTTTGCCGCGGGAAGTGGGAACGCTTCTGTCCGTTCCCCTCTAGCGTGGTCACGGCTCCGCTGCCGTTGAGAGCGAGCGAAGGCCAGCAGCTCTCTGCGACGTGCCCAGCCAGAGCGCCCGGTGTCTTCCTCTGGTGGTTTGGCTAGCCCTCGGCCAGCAGCTCTCTGCGACGTGCCCAGCCAGAGCGCCCGGTGTCTTCCTCTGGTGGTTTGGCTGATACGGGCACAACGTGGTGTAAGAGGCTGAGCCTTCCCAGACCGAGCTGCTACGTGTTCGTTCGGTTTCTGGTCGTGTCGCAAGACAGCCCTGTTTGTAGGGAGGCACCGGGGAGGGGAACGCGGTGAGCTCAGCACAGCCGGTGGCTGTTGGGGGGTACTGGGGTGTCCTCCAGAGCCGTGCTTTGGGACAGGAGGCCCTTTGGAGGGGGCTGCAAGCAGGGATCGAGTACAAAACGTGGTGAGGAACGGGGAGAGACAGAGAAGCAGAACATGGAGCGGGGCAGGCAAATCAGGACTGCATTTCCACTGCCTGTCCGGGAGCTCAGGATCCCTGTTATTTCGGCAGGTGCAAATGGTCCGTCTGGTTGGGATGATGTTGCTCATATTTGCGAAGAAGGATCAGCTGAGCAACATCAGAGAGATCATGACGGAGTCTGTGGGCACAGGAATCATGGGAAAGATGGTGAGTCACCGGGGCCCCTTTGTTGCTTCCCTGTATCCCCGCCGGAAACGGCACGGTCCGGTTTTGTTCCCCAGTCTGTGCCACCCCCGCCTCCTCCCTGGCGCCTCGCCTGCCGCCTTCTCTAACGGCACCGGTACCGGCTCTCCCCAGGGCAACAAGGGCGGCGTGGCGGTGAGGTTCGTGTTCCACAACACCACCTTCTGCGTTGTCAATTCCCACCTGGCTGCTCACGTGGAGGACTTCGAGCGGCGAAACCAGGACTACAAGGATATCTGTGCTCGGATGAGCTTCGTGACCCCTGATGACAGCCTACCTCAGCTCAACATCATGAAGCACGAGTAAGTGGGTTTTGCCGCTTTCCCGTTTGAAGTGCTGTTGGATCATCCGGAGCGGGTCAGGATCACAGCGCCAGGAGAGCTCCTGCGGGTGCCTCTTCTGGCTTGGCAGCGCAGCGACGGTGCCCAGGCCGCCGAGCCCC